ATCACTCCTCACAAATTACAAAACTATGGAACCCTCTGGTTTGGACTATGGTCCAAATGGACCATAAAGTTGAATCTACCTGGGGCAGCCACTCTCTAACCAGTTTCCTCTCTTTTCCCCTAGTCTTTTATCCCTAGTGCACATTACCTTTTGGACCACGTTCTCTTTCTGTAGCTGACTCTGCCTCAGTTTCTTTAGTAGCACCAGTCGGGCCTCTTCCAACCGCAGCTCATCTCTCAGCTGCTTGATGAGCTGCTGTCGTTCCTCAATGCCTTTGCCCTAAGGAAACAGAAAGACCATCAGGTACAGTGGCAGGTGCCCAGAATTCCTTCCCAGAGAGACGATCTGGACTTTTTAGGTCTGAACCTTCAACATCCATAAGAAAAAGTGACACAGGGCCTGAATCAACAGATATCCAGAAAGTACTTGTCAAATGAAGAGACCACATCTAAATGCTACTCAGACTCCTGATGACAAAGTATGGTACTATTTTTGTTTTGTTTTGGTGTTATTGTTTTTACTATGTAGTTCATCCTGGCCTTAAACTCACAATGCAGCCCAAGGTAGCCTTGAAGTCACAGCAATCCTCCTGCCTCAGCCTCCCCAGTGCTGGGATTATAGGCACAAGCATGCACCATGAAACCCAGCTAATAGTTTCTTTTAAAAGGGCATGCCTTTGAAATTAAAAATCGCAAAAGACTTTTTATTGACAGGTAATTCCAAAAAGTAAATAGTCAAAAAAACTACTAGGACTGGCAAGAAAACAGGGCGGGGGCATGAAATGAAGATGTTTTACCTTGAACATCTCTAGGTTGGCTGCTTTGAGTCTTTCTTCCATTCGGGAGCTGGAACGGGGACTGGAAGCTTCATTGTCAGACAAAACAATGATGTCTGGGGAGGGAGTTAGCCTTCCTCGATCTGGCTCACTAGACAAGGGAAAACAAAAAAATCACACTATTTCCAACACTAGGGCTCATAAAACATTAAGGGAATCCCCTCCCCCCATACAAACCCTGTACTGAAAAAGGAAATATAGGGAACTTAGGTCTGTTTTGATTCACTTAAGGAAAGGCAAACATTCAAGTCTTATGATATAGATGACACCAAGATCTGATAGCAGAACCTCAGCAAGACACTTTCCTTGCCTGAAGTCCTTATAAAGGAAACAGGCACAAATATATAAAATAATGATTAGCTTCAGGAATGAAGATATGAGTATTCCTATCACAGAGGTTTTTATATCTCCACTGGGCTGTCATCAGTTATGTGGAGGCTTGGGAAGGAAGTAACCAGCACTACAAGAGGAGGGCAAGGGCAATAAAGCTCACTAAGAGGCAGCTCATGATAATGATAACAACTCGGTCCTGGTATCAGAGACTGTGACAGCTGAAATGACAGTCCAGCCTGTCAAGAGCAGTACTAACAGATGGGAGATGAGGCAGGCTGGGAATTTAGCTCAGTGGTTTGCCCCCTGCCTCACAAGTGCAAGTTCCTGAGTTCGAAGTTCGATCCCTGGTAACAAGGAAAAAAAAAAAGATAGGCAAAAGAAAATACTGGGAGTGGCTTGAAGAAATGGACAGTGCCACAGAGGGGGTGAAGGGAGGAAAGGGGAATGGAGGACAAAAAAGAACCAAGATACATCATGCAAAGGTAACAGATTCCAATGGTGAATGTAACTGTACTGTATGTCTAAAACATACCAATAAGCTTAATGGAAAAAAACAAAATAAAAAATGGACAGCACCAGCAATAGCGTTCTGGAGGGCTGAACCTCCAGAAATAAATATACTTAAGTCATATCAACTTGCCAGAGTGGTGGGGTTTGTTTGGGGCAGTACTAGGGACTGAATCCAGGGCCTTGCACTGAGCTATATCCTTAGCCCCTTTAAAAAATTCCGAGACAGGGTCTCATGAAGTTGCCCAGGCTGGGCTTAAACTTTTGATCTTGCCTTAGCATTCTGGGGAGCTGGGATTACAGGTATGCACTACTATGCCTGACAACTTGACAGAATTTTATCTTGCATTTTTTCTGAAAATACATTGTTCAGGAATTCCTTTGACCATGTATCAGGAGTGGCAGTGCACATTTGTAATCATAGCACTCAGGAGGTTACACAGTGAGTTGAAGGCCAGCCTGCAATATATAGTGAGACCATTTCCAAATAAATTATTTTGACATTTATATCTCCCACTACAGCTCCTCTTAGTCTCTCTTCCTCTCTCTCTCTCTTTCTCTCTATGGGTACCAGGGATTGAACTTGGGACCTTGTGCTTGTGAGGCAGGCAGCAGCACCACTAAGCTAAATTCCTGGCCCTCAAACTTACAAGTAAATTCTTGTTTTGGAATTTCTTGGGGTTTGTTTCTGTAATTTAAATGAATCCTGGAAACTAACTGTTCCTAAATCAATGATCATTTCATATCTTCTAATTCCCCTTGATTTGTTGTTGTTTTTGTTTTTTGAGTCAGGGTCTCACTATGTAGTTCAGGCTGGCCTGGACCTTGCAATCAGTCTTTTGCCTTGGCCTCCAAAGTGCTGGAGTCAGAGGCATGAGTTCACTGATTTCAAAGATACTTTCCTAGATTCTATTTTTTGAGACTCTCATATGGGTCAATGTGTAACTTAACATTTTAATGTTCACATATCATTATTCATGAGAGCTTATCCACCATTTCTCCGGGTTTCTTTTTTCAGCTGGTATACAGAAGGTTTTTTTGTCATTTTTGGTGGTGCTGGGATGGAGTCCAGGCCTCATGCAGGCTAGACAAGCACTCTACCAATGAGCTAAAACCTTAACCCATGGGAATCTTTCGATTTGAGGCATCCTTGATTCGTGGGATAGGCATTTAATTTTTCAGCAAGGTAAACCTGAGTTACTAAAATCACTGAAGTTTAGCTGAAGAAACAATAAGCGAACAGAGTAAGGAGAATGACATCCTGTGAACTATTAATATTGTCAGGTTTGCTCTACAATCACTGGTCGCAGATGGAACAAACCAAGAATATGCAGTTATACAAAAAGAAGCCACTAGAGGGCGAAGAGAGCCTTTTATTCTGTAACCCTAAATTCCCAGAATAAACAAAGTGAACTCATTTTTGATTCTTATTTGTATATGTATTCTTCATACCCTCACCCTAAGATTAACATGGGTGAACGATGTTAAGGGATGGAAAATTTCCCATTCTCCTTGACCCCTCCGTCCTTTCTGAGTCAGGGCCTCACCAAGTTACCCGGGCCAGTCTCAAACTCCTGAGCTCAAGCAACCCTCTTGCCTCAGCTTCTGGAGCAGATGGGACTATAGGCATATACTAATCTACCCAGCTCAGAAGACTTAAAAACTCTGTCCTGGGTGAAATGCCTGCATTACAGAAGACTAAGGTAGTAAAATTCCTCCTTGTTCAAATTAGTGGATCATCTACTTGGGAACTGACCAGTACCAAGAAGGACAGATACTCAAGATGGAGACTTTGAACACCCTAAATGCTCTTTTACTCCTAGATTACACCCAGCTCACATTGGACAAGGCAAAAGCCCAAGTCAAGTCCTATTCCTCAATTTTCTTTTAAACTTTTTACCTGGAATAAAAAACATTCCAGAAACAAAGATTACTTTGCTTCTTTCCCAAACACACACGATTTATAATATCTGGGGTTCAGAAGTATGAAAGCTTCTCTATTAGAGATTAAAAGCCCAACTTGCTGTTGACATCGTTTGCAACTCAGTCTGGCATCCCCAGAAACTTTCACTTTTGAGTCCGTATCCCAGTAGTAAAAATAACTGAACAGAAAGAGAGCTATTGTATTTCTCTAGCATTCCAAATTACCAGAATTGGTTTCATAAATATCTTATATCACAGGTATCATAACTTGCCCAACCTGATGGGAAAATAAGATATTTAGGCAATTATGACAATAGCTCTCATGTTAAAAACTGCACCTTCCTTCTGTTTCCAATTTTTTTCTTCCTTTTATCTCAAAGAAACATGGGTCTCAAAACTGGGAGCCTACTAATCTTGTTCATTCCTATAAAACATCTTAGTTTCAAGTAGTAATAAGAGTGAGTATCCTGGAGTCCTGGCTTTTTCTGGAGGCTTGTGTTTCAAAAGTGCTTCACCCCCAAAATATAATTAAATACAATGACTGGGGTCCAAGATGGTCTGGCACTGTTGGATACATGATGAGAGGGCTCAACCCCAGGTCCTGGCACAAGTTTAGTAAGCACTCTACCTCTGAGCCACCCCACCCTGATCTTTTTAAACACAACACACAACAGTACAGCATAATTCCAATAGCACAGGTCTTACCAGAATGCCTAACAAAGCATTTATGAAAAGTACGTGCACTTAGGGTCCAATTTCCCTTTTTTCCTTCCCAAATGAAGTGGGATCTGTCACCAACTCCAGAAGGTAAGGATGGCAATGGGCAAGTGGGCTGCTCATCTCATGCACCTAATCCATTTTCTTCCAATGAAGCTAAGGATTAATCTACTTATATGATGTTGTTGATAACTACCTATAGGATCTAAGGAAATTTTATTTTCTTCCAGGACCACTACAGAATTTACTTGTAGTTTATTAAGTTGGTTTTTTGTTGTTGTTTTTATACTTTGGGGGGGGCAGTACCGGGGATAGAGCTCAGGACCTTGCGTTTGCAAAGCAGATGCGGTGCCCCTGAGCTAAATCCCCAGCCCATGTTGTTGTTTTTTCAGGGTTGGGATTACAGGTGTGCACCACCATACCTGGCTATTAAGGGTTTTTAATTTCATTTCTAAGACTAATGTACCCTCGTGATGTGGTTAAAAAAAAAGTTCTGGTACAAGACTAGTAAGTAAACATTTAAAAGACAAAGAAATACATGCAAGTTAAAACCATTCCTTCACCTCTCTCTCCTTCTCCATTAGTCTAGCTTCCTATGATCCTGCTCTGGCTCAGCCCTAGGTCAAAGTCAGTAAGATCAGCTGTTGGGCAAGCAAACACTGGGGACCATTCTCATGTTCATCAGTTGTTTCTGAAGGATCACTAAACTGTTCTTCAAACTATGGTTTTTTATACTGTGATTCACTGACCAACCTCACTCAACCCTCAGCCAGTTCCAGGTACCTTTTCTTAGTGTGTGTGTCACCACTTTGAGTACAGTACCTGAAACTAATACACTTTAAAAAGGCCTGGGAAAATGCATGCACACACACGTCCGTGCATGTGTACACACGCCTGTGATAGAGAACATGTGAATGAGCACATGAAGGAATGTACACACATGCAGGGTTGGGGGAACGGCACGGACAAAGCAAGAACTTAGAGACTTTACCACATCAAGATATTCTGATACAAAAACAGTCAGGCTACTTCTCTTTAATGTAATAAAAACTGAGAATCCATACTAAATGGATCCTAAAACTTCTAGAATGATTTGAAGGAAAAACTGTTTCCTTTTTTTTTTTTTTTCGGTACTGGGGATTGAACTTGGGACCTTGAGAGGCAGGTGGTGGAACCACTGAGCTAAAGCCCTGGCCCTGTGTTTCTTCTCTTAAGTACAACAGCTCTAAGGTTAGTGTGAAGGCATATATTAATTGGAATAGGAGCCCTCCAGTGCTTCCTTTTCCCAGCAATAAGCAATGATCACAAGGGTAGATACCAGGAGTCTCAGTGTGCTGAGCAAATTCGCGGTAGTTTCATTTGGAAAGGAGAACTCATTGTCAAGTCAGACGATACAGACCTGTCTTTAAGAAGCTTTAGGATGAAAAGCACCTGCTCTCACTGGAGTTCACTCCCTTCTCACAGGCTTAGTCTATGAGAAGACACTACCGTGGAGGCAGTGACCCTGAGCCATACCTCCGTCTAGCACTCATATCCACTGGCTCATCGTTGATGTTTTCTTTGCCTGGCCTTCCCGCAGTCCTGTTGTCTCCATGAGGCCTAAGATTCCCATTGAGCTTCTCTTCATAACCCTTGACACCACTGCCATCCTGTTTGGTGGGTAACTCATGTGGCACCTCAAGATTTGCCAAATCCTTCCTTTTGAGCAGTGCCAACATTTTCAGGCGTTCCATGGCCTCATGCCCCTCCATTTTGAGTCGTTTTGCCAGAACATCATCTCGTTCATCTGCTGGGTCCAAGCTCCTTTTCAACAGATTCAGACGAAGAGCATCTTCTGTCATCCTATCCATCCTATGGGAAAGAGTGACACAATGAAATTAGAATGAAGTTCCTTCAAATGTCCACAGAAGACAACAGAGTGGTAAAGTTATTAAGAAGAATCACGTAGCTGGGCTCATGATGGCACGTGCCTGTAATCCCAGAGCTTGGGAGAACGAGACAGGAAGATCATTGTCAGTTTGAGGCCAGCCTGGGTTGGCTCAGGAATGCTTTTGTTTGCAAACAATTTGGTTCACAAAATCTGAAAGTGTTTGGCAAATTTTTGTTTTTGTTTGCAAATTCTGCATCGGGTGATGAACTCAACTGTGGCCATCTTTTCCAGAATTGCAAACAAGTTAAGTCTGTGAACCAGTCTGTAGTGAGTTTGAGGCCAGATAGACCTGCATACTGAGGTCCTGTCCCAAAAAAATAAGTAAAAATGATTTTACAACTCCCTCAAAGTTAACTTTGCTAACTAATCTCTCAAACAATATTGTCTTAGAACATCGACATCAAAGAAGGCTACCCAGTCAATCTCTGCAACAAAAGCAAACTTCAACTACACTATAGTCGCCCACCTCACGCACTATGAAAGGGTAACCACCAGACTCACCAGCAAGGCCCAGCAGGGAGCTACACCCTCAAAACAAACACCCAAGGTGACTGAACCTGCAAGGTCAATGGCAGATGCTTCTGTTTTAGCGCTCGTACCAAACCCTTCTCCTGCGACAGGCAGTCCCCTAGGTCAATCAAACACATCAGTAATTGGCTTATCTCATGAGTGGAGAAATATAAGAAAGACAAATCAGGAAAAGGGCACCTAACAAGAAGCCTCAGTTGTCTAGTGCAGAATAGCTCTGCAGACCGATTCAAAAATCTTATGACTGTGGTTATTTTTCATGAAGAACTGCTGTTTATTCTGGTAAAAATATTTTCTCTACTCACGCAACAAATTAATTATTAAAGGCAAGCCAATCATTATTTTCCTTTTTCACTTTGTTTTTTTAACACTAATAAAATTTACAGATTTGGATTTTCTATTATACCTTCAAATCTAGGGCTACTCTCCTGATAGAAAACAGTAATGATGAATTGGAAAGAAAACTGAGTAATGAATGGTAACATAGGCTCCAAACTGTGACTTTTACCAGATCAAATATTTATCTATCATCACCCTCTCTCCCTCCCCCATTAAGTTTATTGGTACATTTAAGGCAAACAATGATAAATTTATCATTGGGATGTTGTACCTCTACATGATCTATCTAGGTTCTCATTTTTCCCTCACTCCCCTGCCCTCCCTTCACCCTTCCCTATTTACAAAGACTTTGCTTCCATTTTTTCCTTTTTTCGTATTTTTTCTTTTCCCTTATTTTCTTTCCCCTTCTCTTCCCACTTTTCCTTTAGCCATTTTCTTCCTATTTCACATATCAATTATACCATTTGAACCTTATTTACACTTTTAGCTTTTCACACCAGAGAAATTATTCAATATTTACTAAACTCTTTTTGGTTTTTTGAGACAGGGTCTTGTCATGTAGTTGAGGTCAGTTGAACTCACAGTGTAGCCCAAGCTGGCCTCAGACTTGCAGGGATCCTCCGGCCTCAGCCTCCCAAGTGCTGGGATTACAGGTGTGCTCCAACATGCCTGGCTAGGTCAAATATTTAATAAGCACTTTATCTCTTTAAGTCGTTTTTTTTGGGGGGGGGGTACCGGGGATTGAACTTGGGTCCTTGCGCTTGCAAGGCAGGCCACCAAACCACTGAGTTAAATCCCCAGCCCCTTTAAGTCTTAATTTCACCTGTAAACATGAGGTGCTGAAATGATGCTCAACAAAATTAAATTTTTATACACTAGGGCCATGATATCAATAAGTAAAGTATGAAACTAGATTCAATAATTCAGACTGAAGTAATAGGATAGAAAAGACTATCAATATTAATCGGCTGTCTTGCAAAGAAAAGTATGTATGTGCTGAAGGAATAATCAAAATAAGGGTTATCTTTTTTTTCTGTTTACAATGAGAAGAATTTATGGGGAATGTTTCTTAGTTCTTTTTTTAAAGAATGGCTTTACTAAGATGTTGTTCATTTACTATACAATTTACCTATTTAGAGTGTACAATTTGGGGGCTGGAGATGTGGCTCCATGGTAGAGTGCTCTGTAAATACATGAAGCCTTGGATTTGATCCCTAGTGAGCACACATGTGCATGCATACACACACAAAAGATTTAAAGTATCTGAGTCAGGGAGTTGGGGGGAAGGGAGGGAAGAAAGGATAAGGGGGTTGGAAATCATCAAGACGTGTTATGTGCAAGCACCAATTTCCAAAAACAAACATCAGTATTGTTTTACAATCATGCACTAATGAAAAAATTAATTCTGTGCATTAAAGTTCTGATAAATGCATATTAAAAAGCATATAATTTGAAGCCAGGTGTGGTGGCGCATGCCTGTAATCCGAGCACTCCAGAGACTGAGACAGGAGGATCACCGCAAGTTTGAGGCCAGCCTGGGTTACATATTCAGTTCAAGATCAGCCTGAACTACGTAGTGAGACCCTCTCTTAAAAAAAAAAAAAAAAAAAAAAAAAAAAAAAAAAAAAATAAAAAAAAAAAAAAAAAAGTTGTCGGGCGTGGTGGCGCACACCTGTAATCCTAGCACTCGGGAGGCTGAGGCAGCAGGATCACTGTGAGTTCAAGACCAGCCTGGGCTACATAGTGAGTTCCAGGGCAGTCTCAACTGCATAGTGAGACCCTGTCTCAAAAACCAAAAAACAAAAGTATATAATCTGAAGTGCAATTTGCCCTGTGTTTCTGTCACCCTCCCTCCCTATGCACACTAGCAGCTGTTTGTTCTCCACTTCTGCCTGAGGAAACTGTGAGTCTACTTTGTCTCTACAGTCACCTGCTGTGGACTCCACAGAAATGGAATCCAGTATGCGGTCCTTCCTGGGTGACTCTTCTCACTCAGCATTTCGTTTTCAGGGTTCGTTCACACTGTCAGCACATACACAGACCCTCCCCAGGTCTGGAGCACTGAATGCAGGAGCTCAGACAAGCTCGGCAAGAGCTTCGGCACGGAGGACCATTCCCAGACCTTCCTATCTCTTACAGCTGAAGACAGCCCACTGTGCGAACATCTCATATCTTGTTTACCACTCATCAACCGAGGGACAACTGGGTTGTTTCCACTTTTTGTTATTATAAATAATGCTGCTGCAAACTTTTGTGGGTCCATTTTTGTGGGGAAAATATTTTTAATCCTCTTGGGTATATACCTACGAGAACGGCAGGGTGCTGTGGTAACTTTATGTTTAATATTGAAGTACCAGGTTGTTGTAAATGGCTACACCATTTTTACACTCTCATCAGTAGTGCATCAGGGTTCCAATTTCTCCATGTCCTCTTAGTTCTCCCTTAACAAGCTTTAGGTATGAGACATATTATACCATATATTAACATTCTATATCTGTAGATTCTTCGAAGGTATGTTATTTTAACATTCGTTACTACCAAAGTTGATTACCTCTGAAAAAACAGGTGTAGATGCAGTGACTGGAAAGTTCAATGCTTCGGAACACCAAAAGTTAAGCCCTAACTCCATAGTAACAAAGTCTTAGGTAACTCAATCAACACTACACACTGAGGGGAGAACTAATAATAGCATAGAAAATTACAGAGGATGAGAAGTCTACCAATTAACTGATTACATACTTAGATATAAAAAATGCTTTAGGGCCGGGGATTTAGTTCAGTGGTTCTGCTGCCTGCTTTGCAAGCACAAGGTCCTGAGTTCAATTCCTGACACACAAAAAATAAAAACTTTAGAAGGTATTGTCTCATTTTTGTCATTGCTAAAACAAAATACCTGACACCCAAAATTACAGGAGGAAAGTTTATGGTAGGTCATAGTTTGGAGTGGTTTCAGTCCATAGTTAGCTGGCTCCAAAGCAGCAGCATGGCAGAGGGGCACAGCAGTGGAGAAACAGTTCATGGCAGGGGAGTCAGTTCATGGCGGCGGCAGCAGCAGCAAGTGGTGGCAACAGCCTGCTTTCTGTCCTCTATATTCCATACAGCCACCCACACGAGGCTGGGGAGGGGGGGTATCTACACATGAGCCATAACAGGCACACAGCAAGATATAAAAATGCAAACTGATATACTAGCGTTCTAAGTTTTGCCATCAATTATATTCATAAGCATAGAAAAAATAAAACTAACTTAGGGCTGGAATGGAGTTTGGGATTCTATCGTTACACTGGCTTATTGAAGTGGAAATTAAACGAGCTGAAATCAGCTCATACAAACAGCTGAAAGCAGGTCAAACCTGAGGTAAACTTTCCCAGCAGATGGCTTGAGAACCCTGACCAATATGTCTATGCCTACTCTTGTCTTTTCTTGATCTCAAAGCTCAACTTTATGGGGCCAGAGATTTAGCTCAGTGGTTTGGTGGCCTGCCTTGCAAGAGCAAGGACCTGAGTTCAATATCTGGTACCAAAAAAAAAAAAAAAACCCCAAAAAGCTCAACTTTATGTACCTGCCATGTCTGGCTCAAAATCTAAGGTAACACAGATGAACTCTGAAATCATTATAACAAGAAAAACAAAAAGCTCAACTTTATGTACCTGCCATGTCTGGCTCAAAATCTAAGGTAACACAGATGAACTCTGAAATCATTATAACAAGAAAATAAATCAGACACAGGAGGACATTAAATATTGTATGAGTTCACTGACTTATATATGAGGTGCCTCAAAACAAAAAAGTAGGATAAAGATTATCAGCTGTTGGGGTGGTAAGTGGAGTCACTGTTGCATGGGAAAAGAATCTCTAAGAAAAAGAAAACGTCTGGAAATGGAGAGTGGTGACAGATGCACCACACTCTGAAGTTATTTAGAGCACTGAATTGGACATATAAAGAGTTAAAATAGTGAATGACTTTTGCTTGATATATTCACCACTATAAAATCTTTCTTAAAATTCCAAGCCAAAGATGATGGCACATACCTGTAAGCCCAGCACTCGAGAG